AGCTGGTCTATGTGGCGTTTCCACACCCTCCCATCTTCTGTTAGTAGGCGGTAAGATCTGGGCCCTGTGAGGTGGGTGACGGTTGCGGGTATCCATAAAGGGTCGCCGGAAAAGTTTTTTGCAAAGGTTAAATCGCCTACCTTAAATTCCCGGCATTTGCTGCTGGAGCCGAAAGGCTTTTCGGGTGCGTATGCGGGGTGGAGCCGGTCAAGGTGCGATCGTAGTTTCCGCCCCATGAGAAGTTCGGTGGGCGTTTTGTTGGTGACGCTGTGGGGCGTAATATGCTGCAACAATAAAATTCGATTGATTTTTTCATCGATGTCGCCGAATTCCATTTTGTGGAGGGTCTTTTTTACAAACTGTACCATGCGTTCTGCACGTCCGTTTGCCGCAGGGTGCGCAGGTGAGGTCAGCGCATGGCGGATGCCCCGATCAGCAAGATACTGTTCAAAGTGTAATGCAGTGAACTGTGGGCCGTTGTCCGAGACCAAAACATCCGGGAACCCATGTGTGGCAAATAGTCTATTTAATCTGCTGATAACTGAGTCTGTTGTAGTTGTATTCATCCGATGGATCTCGAGCCAATTCGAGTAGGCGTCGACTGTAATAAGGAAGGTGTGTCCCCTTGTAGGCCATGCAAAGTCAATGTGAATACGGGACCACGGTCCCCTTGGGGTTTCCCATTCGGTTGGGCTTGCTTTAGGTGGGGCATTACTGACGTCTTGGCAACGTTGACAAGTAGCGACCCAGGCCTCGATTTTCTTGTCGATTCCCGGCCACCAGGCATAGCTTTGTGCGAGTGCTTTCATCCGCACTATGCCCGGATGTCCGTCGTGTAATACCGCTAACACAGTTCGTTGCAGTTTGTTCGGAATTATAACTCTATCTCCCCACAAGATGCAGCCCTTTTGGGAAAATAGTTCAGTTTGGCGGGCTTTAAAGGGCGCCCATTCTGGTGATAGTTGTTCTGTTGGCCACCCACGCTCAACCCAGCGTAGGATGTGTTGCAAAACCGGATCTCGTTTTGTTTCGAGGGCAATGTCCCTTGCCGTCAATGGCGGCGCGTGCAGGGCCTCAATTTGTAGCGTTGTAATGGTCGGTGCTGGATCTTCAACCGATTCTGGGAGTGGTGCTCTGCTTAATGCATCAGCGTGGAGAATTGCTTTTCCTGGGCGGTGTTGCAAGGTGTAGTTGTACGCCGCCAAGAATTCAGACCAACGAGTCATTCTGGGGGACAATATATACGGGGTTGGTTTATTTCCCGCAATAATCCCCAATAGTGGTTTATGATCAGTAATTATTGTAAATGCACGCCCATACACATATTCATGGAATCTTTTAACTGCAGCCACAATAGCTAAAGCTTCTTTATCCAGCTGACTATAATTCCTTTCAGCTTTAGCTAGAGTTCGTGAGAAAAATGCGACGGGAGCTTCTGCTCCGTTTGGCAATACGTGGGCCAGGATTGCTCCAATGCCAAACGGTGAGGCGTCGCAAGTAATAGTCAATGGCAGAGTTTCGTTGTACTGCATAAGTACAGAATCAGAAGTTAGCAGTTTTTTTAACTTGCTGGAAGGCGTTTTGTTCCCGTTGCCCCCAAACCCACGTTGCTTTTTTGTCTAAAAGTCTATGCAGTTGGTTCAGCTACCGTTGCTTTATTTGGTAGAAATACGTTATAGAAATTGATAGGTCCAAGGAACGCCTGAAGATCTGCCTTGTTCCTTGGAGTGGGGGCCCTCTTAATTGCCTTCAATTTGTCCTCAGTGGGATGGATCCCTTGGCTGTCCAGGAGGTATCCCAGAAACTCTATCCTTTCTGTGTATAAGTGGCATTTATTTCTTTTGACCTTGAGGCCGGCGTCTTGGAACCTTTGTAAGACCATTCGGAGTCGTTTTTCTAGAATGTCTCTGTTAGGGGCGGCGATGAGTACATCGTCGAAATACGGTACGACCCCTCTTATTCCTTGCAACAGTCTCTCCATTAAGCTTTGAAAGATCCCGGGAGCGACGCTCACCCCGAACTGGAGTCGGTTGCATTTAAACGCACCCCTATGGGTGATGATAGTTTGCGCTTCGGCGGTGGCAGGGTCTACAGGCAATTGCTGATATGCCTGCGCTAGATCTAATTTAGCGAAAATTTTTCCGCCCCCCAAGGAATGGAGCAAGTGCTGCACTACTGGCACTGGATATGCACTTTGCTGAAGTGCGTGGTTAAGGGTGGCCCGATAGTCTCTGCAAATTCTCAGTGACCCATCAGGCTTGATAGGCGTAACTATTGGAGTTTCCCACCGGGCGTGGTCGGTGGGTTCCAGCACACCCTGTGCTATTAGTTTATCGAGTTGTTCGTCGATTTTAGGTTTCAGGGCGAATGGCACCCGACGCGGCTTAAGGCGGATGGGTGCTACCTCAGGATTCAAATTAAATGATATCGGGGTCCCCTTGTACTTGCCTAGTCCGCTCGCGAAGACGTCTCAGAATTCTTGCACAAGGGCCTCCTCCCAATCGTTGCTCTCGGCCCGGTGAACTCCGGCTACGGTGATCCCGAGCGGCTCGAACCATTGTAGGCCTAAAAGGCTAGGCCGGTCACGGTCGACAACAGTCAGTGGCAGTGCAACGGTGCGGTCCTTGAAAGAGACCTGGAATTGGCGGGACCCAACGACGGGAATTCGATTACCCTGGTAATCTTTGAGTATAACCCTTTGAGGGTTGAGGTCTTGGCGGCGAATTGTTGGAATAAGCTGCTGGAGCGTCTTCCAAGATACCATCGAGAGGGATGATCCTGAGTCTACCTCCATCACACAAGGTTTGTTTTCGATCGCGACCTTCACCCGGATTTTTCCGGTGTCTAAGGATGTAGCGTGGCCTATGGTGATTGTTTGGTGGGTTTCTTTCTGTCTGGTTTCTTCGCGTCTGGGGTTAGTGGTGGACGGGTTGTTTCTGTAGGAGCGGTTTCCCCATTGGTGGTTCAGTTTGTCTCGGTGTGTACCGAGGAATCCTAAAGATTGGCATTCGGCCTGTCGGGGTTTGGAGTTGGAGGCTTGTTTACTTCTGCAAACCTTTGCGATGTGACCTCTTTTTCCGCAAACGCGGCAGAGTGCGTCGAGGAATTTGCAGCTGGATCGTGGGTGACTCGCTCCACATCCTGCACAAGGTCGATTTGAGCGTTGTGTGAACTGGTCTCGTTCAGTTCGGAGTCGGTTGACCTCTTCCTCGTCACTTTCTGATGGGGATTCTAGGTCTTTGTGGTGAGTCGATACCGGGTGTCTCTCTGGGCGAGGCGAGGTATCATCGGCGAGTTGGCGTAGCGGTGCGCTGGTACGGCGCATTCGTGCTGCCGACTTCTTAGTTGCTTCCGCTGCCAAGGCTTCTTTAAGGGCATCGGTAAAGCTGATGTCCCCCTTAGCCATGATTTTGCTCTGGATTGTGCAATCCTCTAAACCCAGAACTAGGCGGTCCCGGAGGGCTTCTTCTAAGTTGGAGAACTCGCAGAGGCCTCCAAGGTTTCGAAGGTCTGCGACGTAGTTGGCAAGGCTTTCGCCCTTCCGCTGGCCTCTCTGGTAAAATTCGTGCCTTCTGACTAATGTTGGCACGGTGGGCACGTAGTGGGCCCGTAGCAAAGGCTCGAGAACATCCCAGTCCATTGCTTTTACTTCGGCTGGCTTGGCAAGTGACTTCGCCATTTTAAACACAGTAGGCCCGCAGTGGGTTAGAAAAACAGCTCTTTTTTTGCTGGCCGTTGCATCTTTCAAGTTGTTGGTCTCCAAAAACATTTGGAACCTATCCATGTATGACTCCCAGTCTTCGGTTTCTGGGTTGAATGGAGCGGGTGGTACGGCACCGCTGGCCATGATTGCCGTTGATAGTGCGTGTTCGACCACGTGCTCTGTTGGTTGCTCTGTAGATCAGTCAGCTCTTCAGTCTCCGCATCCCACCTTCGTCGCCAGTGTTATGTTCGAAGAATAAGGAGACCAGACATCTGACCAGTGACTT